GCCTCACGGTCGAATGATGCTTGCTATGCATGGTTGTAGTGTAATACCCTTGCCTAGCCTTGAGTTTTGAAGCCTATTGCATGCTTATATTGAGGTGCTTTCCTGTTTTGGGGGCATTGAGCATGTCATTTCAGAGCCTATACTTGTGCCATATTCCCATGTTTTCCATTCTTTAAACGTGTTTGAGAGTTGTGCATGAATACCTCATTTATGGACCATTGCATGAGCTTCATTTCTATGCATTTTGAGCAATCATTTTAGACCATTTTCCCACTGTCTTGGACTTGCATAGGGACTGTTTGGGGCTGGTTGGGTCATTTGAGCATTGCTTTGTGTACCTCTAGTGCAATGCACTTCACTAGTTTCAGTATCCGGGCCATCTAGCATGCATTGTGTGAGGTGTTTACATGATTCGGGACCATCTTGCATGTCATTTCCAAAGCTGGAAAATGTGTGATTGTATGCCATATTTAATCCCTTGCCATGCCTTAGTAGAGTTACACTTTGTGCCTTAGGTTTGGTTCCTCGCATTGTACATGTTTGCATAAGTGTTGTTGTCTTAATTTCATCATGTTCGGCCACTGATTTGGTTGTGGCTAAGGCTCACCTATCTTGGTTTAAGTCCATCTTGCATTTTGTATGCCATATAATCCATGTTGTTGCATGTTCGATCATTGCATTAAGTATGCCTTGTTCATAACATCGCGTATGTTAGTGCATTGTGTATGCATGTCATATAATCCATGTGCATTGAGTATGCCATTGATTAGTTCATAGCATTATGTATGTCATTTGCATGCTTCCTTTGCATGTTTACATCACTTAGTTACATTACATTTAGGATTGCATACTAGAGTTGTATTTTGTACATGCCATGCCATTCTATTTGTTGCATTGTGTTTGGAGTAGGGTTTAGTCAAAACACGGGAAATAAGGAATGTTTCATACTCCAAGTGATTAAACGTGCCTCAATTCCCGGTCATCGACACTCTTGACCATCCATGATGGAGTTATTGGTTTTAGTTGTTTATATGTGCATTCATGTCCCATTGAGTCGTGCAATTCGACTCCTCGGTCATCATGCATCGAGATGCGTGATTGGTGGCACGAGGATCGAGGACTACACTCCCTAGAGCTTGTGCAATGATGGGGAGAGTGGTCATGCACACATATGTTGAAAATACTTTGCCATGCCCCTTTCTCGCTCTCTGTTGCAGCAAAGCAGAAACCAACAGCAAAAACTGGTTGGTAGTATCCCTATAGCATGGTAGAGTTTCAACCTTCTGGAGTTTTGTTTAGTGTTCTGGGACCAGTTGCAAACAGAGGCAAATCGGGGCATTGCGATGGATTTTCTGGCAAGGCGACTCGAGCATGCATGCATTCCTTGTCATTCAAGACCGAGCTGAGGTAGTCCATTTCATATGTTTTGCATGCTAGCTTATTTATTTTAGTTAATTTGTTAATTAATTAGGGTTGTGTAATAATTAGCTGTAATTCGTTATTCATTCGGTTGTGTATTATTTATTCGCTTATGATGGTTAGTTTTAGGGCAGTTTCATTAGCATTATCATGCCTTGTATTCACTTGCATTGCATGCACCGAGGCTCGATTCATTATTCAAACTTGCATTGTCATTTAAATAATTCTTTGAATACGTGCTTAGACCACATGTTAGCAAATTGATTCACATGTCAAAAATTAGTAGCCGAGCCTATTTATTGCATATCACATGTGTTGCATTAGCCATAACCGCATAAAGTTAAAAACATACATATTTTCTAATTATTTTTCTATGCTTTGCTTTGGCTTGGAGTATTAGGTGAGTAATTTCACGTTTTAGCATCTTGCATTGAGTGTTTGTGTTGCCATGTCTAAAGCATGAATTCCATGAGGCTAAGTGTTTAAATGATATAATTGTTTGAATGCCTATGGATGAAGGCTAATTTAGCCCACTTTTTCAAGTGACAAAATTCACAAAACAAAACATGAGATTAAATGTTCCAAATCTTGCAAAACTAGTCTATATCTTGTGTGCACATCACATATTAATATTTCTTAAGCCCACTTGAGGGTGGCAAATCCACGTCTTAGCCTACTTGCTAGTAGCACCATCAAACCATCTTTCAAATAAACAAACATGAAATGTTTTGTTCCAACTCAAACGATCCAGTCTATACTTGTATGTTGTGTGCATCACATAGTAATTCTAGGCTAATAACCGGAATAAGAGCACATAATGTTTTCAAAACTCGATATCATGGTTAGTAGAGGCCGATCTTTGATCGGGCGAGCGGGGGTGCTCACGAAGTGACCTTCTCCAATCGTACCCAAGTTCCCGAGCCGAGACAACTTTGGTGATGATGGACACGTGGCCTTAGGCACGAGTCAGGGTTTCCTAAATTCCCCCAAAATAAAATATTTAGGTGGTGACTCTGTATCTGGCAAAACAGTCCATGTTTGGTACTTCTTTCTAAAAATCAGTTTTTCAAAACGATTTTCCGGATTTGGACTTTTTGATGATTCATCGGTCTTGCATTGCACTATGCGAGATTAGATACAGGACCGTGACATTGAGTCTGAACTGTAGAAAGCCCAAATGAACAAAACGGGATTCCCTCCCGAGACGTTCGGGGACGTCTACAGGTTACAAGCAGAATGGAAAACAACAAGAAGTTAGAATTAATAAAGGAGGCTTGAAGTAAATTACAGAGAAAGAAATGAGAGAAATTAAACAGAAACAACTAAACAATTATGTCATCAACCAACTTGGCTCTGATACCATTACGGAGAGAATGAGGGCAGAAGGAAGATATGAACAATAAAAAAATTAAACAGAAAGCAATAAATTGTAAAATAATTAACAAAAAACCGTAAACTAGTAAAATTAACAGAATAATAAAATTAACAGTGAAATTAATAACAAAATTAAAACAATACCAACAACAATAATCAAAGGATAGATAACTGAAATATAATAATTAATTGACAGACATATTACTTACAATCGTAAATTGTTTACTAGAAATAAATTGAAAGCCTAACTTCAAAATACATAGCCTCAAAATACAATGTGAATACAATTTTTTGAGAGTAAAAAGCAAGAGAGTGAAAAGCAGGTAGATTCTTAATGCTTTTCCAATTTTTTCCTCCCTTTTTTCCCGGACTAGAGAAGCTCTTTTATAGGCCTAGCAGATAACTGTGATGCTTGTGACTTTATGAGCTAGAAGGTAGGAGGCACACTGTGAGGCTTGTGACTTCAAAAACTGGAAAGTAGGAGGCACATGGTTGCTGTGGGCAGTTTTAGTGATTGATGGAAAGCTGTCTATTTTTTACTCTCTTTTTCTTTTCTTTTTTTTGTGACTGCACAGTTGACTGATGGAGAATCAATAACTCGTGACTACATAGTTGACTACTATTTATATATATTTATATATCATTTAATATATAAATAATATGCTTATTATATAATTTAAATAAAGAAAAACGAGCAGAGTTTGGCGAGCCGAGCTTTTGCGAGCTCGAGCTCGGCTTGTTTGCTAATTGAGCCTAATAAACGAGATGAGCCGAGCCCTTAATGTGCAGAGCCGAGCCGAGCCGAGTTTGTTCATGAACAGCTCCGTTCATTTGCAGTCCTACTTATATGTGTGAAATTATGATAACATATTCAAACCTTATACTTTCTTTTTCCTTTCTCTATCCTTTTCATGCACAATTTATAATTTATAACATTAATTCAATTAAATCACAATTAATCATATTTTTTTAATTATTTATTGTAACTCTTTACTTTTTAATCTAATTTTAATTTAGTAATATTTTTGATCAAATTTTAAATATTATTTATTTTATTTTATATTTTAAAACGCATCATTAATTAAATTTATCTTTTAGATAAATTGTTAATTATATTTTAATTTAATTTAATTTTGATAAACATCTTAATCTAATTTTGAGTTTGGAAAAGATGAGGTTAAAACTGTCTTTCAGTTGTGTTAATTTTATCTTATTAAAAAAAAAAAATCAAATCCACTCCTTAAAATGGTGTGTGTGATATTTAATTATTTATTTATTTTTAGACCGGGAAGAAAATTTTCATTACAAAACTAATAAACAAAACGGATTAATCTGGTATAGTGGTAACAAAAGATCTTACAAAGAGATACCAAACTTTCATAGGAGGAAGAATCCTGGTCTCCATAGAGGAGGAGAAAAAACCCTCACAAAGAAAGAACACAACCTCCAAACAGAGAGGATTATTATAACAAATAATTTAAAAGTAAAAAAGAAAATTGAAAACAACTAGATCCAAGTCGCAAAACCCATCCCAAGCTCCATTAAAAAAAAAACAAAAATTTATTACACTTTAATGAATTTTTTTTTTTAAAAAAAATTTGTACAAATTTTATATTTTTTAAGTCTACCAAAATTAAGTAGATCCAATAAGTAATTTTTTTTTTATTTTATAAAAACCGCTAAAACTATAAAAATACAAATTAAAAATTCAAGAAACTATTTTTAAAAATTCACCAAACATAAATTTTCTTTCCTTTATCTTTTTTTCATTGATGTTAATTCTGTTAGGAAAAAAAAAATAAATAAATAAATAAATAAATAAAAAATCTGTTAGGCAAAACTCAGTTCATAAATTCTCAAATCAAATATGGCAATAAACGAATATCTTCCAAAAGATTTCAGTCTTCCAATCTATAACTAGGGTATAATTCATTAATTAGACTTTGTATTTGATTTTCATTATTATGATTATAATTTATTAGGATTCATTATAAAATCATACATGAATAAAATATATAAATAAAACAAAAATTTGCGTACTACAGCTGTTCCCTCAAATCAAATATGGCAATGAAGAATATCTTCCAAAAGATTTGAGTCTTCCCATCTATAACTAGGGTATTGCTCTCTCTCTAGATTGTATCATCTAATTCTCTTTCACTCTACTTGTGTCTGTTGGTTGATTTGCAAGTGCTTCGTTTTTCACGATGGAGGATGATGAAAAGGGTAAGAAACCCATGAAGCGAATTGAGAACAAGAAAGCTCTGAGAGTTACTTACAAGAAGAGAAAGGACTGTGTTATCAAGAAGACAATGGAGCTCTCGATTCTCTGCGGTATCAATGTCTTCACACTCTGTTTCGGCCCCAATGGAAAGGTCGACACGTGGCCCCAAAACCCAAACGAAGTGAAGGCTCTGATCAGGATGTACAAAGATTCTGCTAAGAAAAGCCCGGTTAGTAAAACTTGTGAATCTTCTTTTTCTGATTGTTGTTTGGGTGCTGAGAAAGTTGCCAAGAAAGTTTTGGTGGGGGAATGAGGATGGTTATGGTTGGCTTGATGGGTTATCAGCAGAGTCGGTGATGAGTTTCTTGGGAAAGTTGGATTCAAAATTGGAGGTTTTGAAAGCAAGAATTGAGTTCTTGAAGATGGTGAATGAGCAGAAAAACAGCGTAGTGGTAATGGGGAAAGAAACAGAGAATTCAACTGAATTTTACCAACCACAACCACAACCACAACAACAAGATACTCAACTGAATTTTGAGATGGAGAACCTTTCAATGTTGCTTGACCTTTGTTACCAATACCAATCTAGCATTTTTTGATCTGTTGAGAGAATTCATACCCTTTTGTTGTTTTAGATTTATGGGTAAGCTTTATAATTATACTAGGAATTTAGGAAAGTATTGGAGAATATCATCGTATTCGTACCCGTATTTTATTTGAACTTTATATTTTTGTCATTAGCTATGTAACTTTTTTCACGAATTTCCCCCAAAACAGTTGGTGAATGTATAGAGGTCTGTCTCAGTTTTGTCCAGCTAGGGGTCTAGCATTCTTTAAATATGATAAATATGATGTATACACATTTTATTTATTTGGTGATCAACATCTGTTTGTGTCACTTTCTACATTGCCTCATATTATATGCATAACTGCTTTAGTGCAATGTTTTTTATTTTTTATTTTTTAGTGCAATGTTGATGGAGAAGTTGAGTTTTTAACCAAGCAAGAAAGGACCCATAATTTTCAATCACTTTCACAACTTCTACAATGGATTGGAATGAAGACATAATACAGATCTTAGGATCATTGAATAATCATAATCAATAAATATCAATGACAAATATTCAGTTGATCTGTGTTTGTCTTGAAATTTAAAAACAATATAATTAGTTTCATTCTTTTGATATAATTATATTAATCTGTTTTGAGATTCTAATTTACGTCACTTTCATCAAATTTTTGTCAATCGTATAAATAAAGAAAAAATAATATTATTATATATTTTTTATTAAAATATATATTTATTTTTATTTATTTCAGTAATTATATAAAAAATGTAATAGTAATTATATATTTTTTTAAAACCTCAAGAGAGAGGAGAGTGTAATTTATCATAAAACTTAGAGGACTGACTAAGACCCCCTCAAAACTCCCACCCCACCACCCCCACACACACACGTGGGGGTTGGGGATTGGGAAAGAAGAAGAAAAAAAAGAAAAAAAGAAAAATGGACCAATCAAAAGTAAAGGGGGTCAAAGTGGGTGGGGGAAAGGGGTTTTAATCATTTTTGTAAAACTTATTAGTTAAAAGAGTGATCAATTGTAATGACCCCAAAAGTCATCTTTATTTAATTAGGGGTTAATGTGTTTTAATTCAACTATATCTATTGGAATTGAGAATGTTTTTATCTTATTTTGGGGTATGGATTGAGGTGGTGGTATGATGATAAAGTAAGATTGGACCAAAGAGTATAATCCGGATAGTTATTCTACGATTAGCCGTCACTGATTTGCCCTTTTCTTTTTCTACACTTTGAATTTGAATGTGAGGTTAGAACCATTGGAAAGCTTATTTCCGGGGCTTCAATTTGGACACAAGAACAACCTAGAACAGAGTCCCGATGAGAGAGTTATACCCGTTTGAAGTTTTTACATCTGTGCTAGAAGCAGAGCCACACGTGCGGGGAATAGCGCCGCACGTGCAGGCTGTGCGGGACAGCAGCTCAAAAACGAGATTTTTGGCCCATTTCTTACATTTTCTTTTCCTCTCTTCTTCTTCCTTCTTCCATGTCCGAAACCCTAGCTCCCAAAACCTTGATTTCCTCCACTTTTATCAACAAATCCACCATGGATCTTGCATCAAGGATGGAGAACAAGAAAGGGTCAACATTTCCAACCGATTGAAATTCGAATTTTTGGAGGATTCTTCTCAATCTTTGCTCCTTTGCTTGATTCTTGAGGTAGGGGTCCTTATTCCCTTTCAATATTTGCATTCATGGATTGAATTATGGAATTTTGTGTATATACAAACAAAATCTATAGTTTTGAGCATATTATGTCCAACTTGAGAATTGAGGGTTTAGAGTTGGAGATGTTGGAAGTTAAATTGGTGGGTTAAAATGATGGATTGTGACTCCTAGATGTATAATCATGGGAAAAATTGGAATAAAAAATAATGGGTTAATAAGTTTGTATTTTTCTTGAAATTTCAATATTTTCTTGAAATTTCAATATTTTCTTGAAATCCTAGGTTGGCCCAAATTGAAAGTAGAATAATGAAATTGAGATATTGAATTAGATATGTACAAGTTTAATTGGAATTTGGAAATGTTTGAAAATTATGTTTAAAATTTGCGAATGAGCTATATTATAAACATTGTAATTCATGCTGTAATGTGAAGGGAAAATTGGGAAAATAATCTATTAATGATATGGATGATATGAACTCGGTTTTGGAATGTTGAAATGGAATTCAAGGATTTATTTTGAATTATGTTAAATTACAAATGGTGTTGATGAATTAAGTGATATCGACTTTATTGGATTATGTTGTGTTGACTCATAGTGAATTGATTGGCGTTGTACTATGATGAATTATGTTTGAATTACGTGAATTGTGTAGGGTCAGCTACAGGGGCGGATCAAGCACCTGAACGCTGTGAGTAGTAGTACAGAAATGTACATCTTATTTATCGTTGATAATTATTGTCACTAACACTCTGTTCTTTGTAAGTGTTATCAACGTTTATGACAAGTGGAAATTAATATGAATTTTTATGAATATGGAAAGATTTGCGTACGTCGGTATGACTTTGGAACCCTTTTGTTCTGTCAATAACAAGTATTAAACCTCTGTTATTTATCAGTGTATTATGTACTTCTTAAGAATAAATGGAGCTTATGTTCATCCATGAATAATGATACCTGTATGAGTCCAAGATTATTTTGTTGTGTTACGTATGGACTCGAGATCGTTTAGAATCTATGATATGAAAACAAAGGTTTAACATCATTATGTAACCCACGTTAGAATGTAAACTGTTCTGTCCTTGCTAAGCATGCTCTATGTTTTGATATGTTACGTTTTGACTTAATGAACAGTTGACCATAAATGTAAAGTATTCATGGCATCTGTAACACACGGCCCTTACCCGGGGGTAATAATACCGTGGTTTAAGTAATTAAGTTACAAGTTTATTTACGTTACAAGTTTAAGTATGTTACAGATTTAAGCATGTTACAAGTATAGGTATCTTACAAGTTTGCGTATGTTCTAAGTTTACGTATGGTACAAGTTTAAGTATGTTATAAGTTTACGCATACAAGTTCATGTATGTTACAAATTCCAGTATGTTACGAATATGACTTTTGATTTCTGCTTATGATTTAAGTATAAAAAAATATGTATGATTTGATTCCGTTTATGATATGACATGATATGTACGGTTTGGTCTGGAAAACCTATTAATTTCTGGTATGGAGCAAAGTGCTATACGGAACTAAGTGCTGTAGTGCGAGTTACCTCTAGAATCTGTATGGGCCACCTCTTGAGTCCATACATATGTGAAAATTATGAGGCTAAAAGTCATTCCATGAAAGTTATGAGGCTTATGGCCATCTATATAAGTTGTTATGAAATGAAACAAAGTGCTACACGGAACTAAGTGCCACAATTTGAGTCACCCCTAGAATCCGTGTGAGACACCTCTTGGATTCATACATGCATGTTTCAAGGGCTTAATGCCAAACTTTGTTTCAAGGGCTTTTATGCCATATGTTTCAAGGGCTTTTATGCCATATGCTTCAAGGGTTTTTATGCCACATGTTTCAAGGGCTTTAATGCCACATGCTTCAAGGGCCTTGTGCCACCATGTTTCAAGGGCTTATAGCCACCATGTTTATGTTACAAGATTGAACCTAAGGCCATTATGTACTTAGCACAGAATCAGACTAACTATGTGAACTCTACATCTTTATATGCATTGCTATGTGTTATGTTTCAAGTTAAGCATCGTTTTATTTATGTGTTACTACTCACTGAGCCCGGCTCACTCTTTGTTATGTCTGTTTCTATAGGTCGCCAATTAGGTGATCAGTCCCAGCCGTGACGTCGCTTTCTTTTGTCAACCTTCGTATGTCCAGGCACTATACACAGCCATTGATTTTGTTAAGCTGATAAGATATTGGCTTGCTTTTCGAATGTCTATCTAAGAGTGATGTATATAGCTTTCGTGTTTTTGTTTATGCCCAATGATAGGGCTGGGTCGGTATATATGTATGTATATAACCGATGTTCAGGTGTATGTTTTAGATTTTATTTGTTTGTTAAAAGTTTGTGATCCTGGCATGATAGTAGTAGCTCGATGGAGTTTGTTTCCAGTGTCAAATTTTGATATTTAGTGCTTCCGTTTAGGCCCCATATATATAGATATAAAACATGTTAAGTGTCCGTTTCTGAAGTGGTCATGCCCAAACTTCTAGGGGCGGGTTTGGGGTGTGACATCAATAGTTAAATGTTATATTTGTCTCCCCTTGTAGACAATTACCAATTTTAGTCGAGTAATTACCGTATATAGATGGACCAGACAAAGAGTTTGGTGGCAGTGACCCCCCAAACTTCACAAAAAATATTATTTGGCCAATCCTATTTTAAGTATTTATAAAAATAAGGGCCTATACAAAATTTATAATGTTTTATTTTGGTCCCATGAAAATCTATATAATTTTAATTTGATTCCGCCAAGATTTATATAATTTTATCCCGACATCATAAACTTCACAGAAATCTAATTCAACTCGTCTTATCAACAAAAAAAGATTAATTATTGGATGTAATGTTGTATCTCCGTAAATATAGACTTTTTACCGAAATACCTTTTTAAAAGGCAGTATTTCAAACAAATGTTGTGGGTGATAAAATATTGGCCCAAACCCAAAGCAATTAGGCAAGGCAAACCAAAATAAAAGGAAGGCCCAAGTAAATTTCTAAGGAGCCCATTAGAGACAATTGGAAATACAAAGACGCATGACTAGGAACGTAAGGAGCAATGAAGAGTACAAGATCTCCTTCTATAAAAGATCTGCAAAATGAAAGAGGAACGTCAGATTTATCTTCATCCAACGGTAGAAACATCAAAGCAGTAAGTACAAGAGTATAGATTAGGCCTACTAGACGGTAAGTCTGTCCGATCAACCTCATTCAACAAACGTAACACTTGGCAAACTAGTTACTAGCATCTGACATAATGTAAGCCGTCTATAGGAGGATGATCCAACGATCAAAGTCAAAGGCAACTTGACCACTTGTTTGACCAAAGCC